TCACACCCCAGGAGACACCTACTTTCGTTTGTGTGTTGCCCCGAAGCCTCGGTAAGCATCTTGCGGGCTACACAGTATCACACCCCAGGAGACACCTACTTTCGTTTGTGTGTTGCCTCGAAGCCTCGGTAAGCATCTTGCGGGCTACACAGTGTCACACCCCAGGAGACACCTACTTTCGTTTATGTGTTGCCTCGAAGCCTCGGCAAGCATCTTGCGGGCTACACAGTGTCACACCCTAGGAGACACCTACTTTCGTTTGTGTGTTGCCTCGAAGCCTCGGAAAGCATCTTGCGGGCTACACAGTGTCACACACCAGGAGACACCTACTCTCGTTTATGTGTTGCCTCGAAGCCTCGGTAAGCATCATGCGGGCTACACAGTGTCACACCCCAGAAGACACCTACTCTCGTTTATATGTTGCCTCGAAGCCTCGGTAAGCATATTGCGGGCTACGCAGTGTCACACCCCAGGAGATACCTACTTTCGTTTGTGTTGCCCCGAAGCCTCGGTAAGCATCATGCGAGCTACACAGTGTTACACTCGCGGCCAGCGCTCTGAACAGCAAGTCACAAGTTTTAGAAAACAAAGAGTTTCGGAGATCTGTCGTAATAAGTCTGAAGTAAGGGAACAGACCAGGACATTGTGATTTATACAGGCTGCGTTCTATTGTTACGAGCCAGGATATCTCAGTCTGTATAGCAACGATTTGGACGGTCAAGATTCGATTCCAGACAGGAATCCCTGGGGATAAAAAGGGTGGTAGGTGTAGCTGACAACTTCCTTCCAACTAGTGACGAGGATAAGAATGCTGGAGCTATACCTCCATCCCTCACACATCTTTACGGTGTTGTTCTTAACGTATTAATTTCAGAAACAACTTTATCCCATTTTGTATTGTTAGTACATGGATATGGGGATGGTGCGGGTAGCAGGGCATGTGACTAGGAAATGGAAAGCCTGTAGTTCGCAAGCGAACTATACCGACTGAGCGACCGCCGCTTGTCGGCGAAGTTAGTGCCAACTTTTGTGGTTAGAGGATGTCAGGTGGTCAGCGCAACGGATCCATACGGCCGTTAATCTCGGTTTTCTAGACCGGCGCAGTTATTTCCTTGAAATAGCCACTTAATTATCCTAACGAGGCTGAGTGGACCCCATTCCAAACCCACTACTTCTCAGAGAAACTGATAGTGCAGGGAATCGAAGCCGGGACCTCTGGATCTGTAGCCAGGAACTCTGACCAACAGACCACAGAGTCGGTCACTTCTTGTGGGAAAACTAATGGAAATTACATCTATACATCGAAGAGCAAGAATGAATTGGGAAAACAACATCAAGATATTTCTCAGCTTAATGAGTCTTAAGGACGTGAGATGGATGGAATTGGATTAGGATCGCATCCAATGGTTGGGTTCGGTGTTAGTGGTGCTGAATATTCGGGTTCTGCTAATACAGTGTTTCTTAGCTTCTTCGTCTGTGACAAATTTACAGACGATTTTGAATATGTCAATCCATTCATACACGATTGGATGGTGAAAAGACTTTCCCTGTACTGTATTTATAGCCTCTGATGAATTTCCGGACCTTGTTAACCTTCAGTCCACAGATATCGAATCGCTACACGCTGCTCTTCTTTAGTGTACGCGAGAAGCGAAGCGGCCATGTTGACGCCACAAGTGATGAAAGGCAACTGAATGGTGGAACAAAAACAAACTCCGTGGTTTTAGTCCGCAAGCGAACAATACCAACCGAGAGACCGCCGCTTGTCGGTGAAGTTAGTGCCAACTTCCGCGGATAGAGGGTGTTGCGTCGTCAGCGCAACGAATCCCCACTGCCGTTAATTTTGTCTTTTCTACACCGGAACCGCTATTTCCTTGAAACAGCTCCCCAGTTATCCTCACGAGGCTGAGTGGATCCCGTTTCAGACCCACTACTTCTCAGAAAGTCTGGTAGCGACGGGAATCGAACCTGGACCTCTGGATCTGTAGCCAGGAACTCTGACGACTAGACCACAGAGGCGGTCTACGAAATAAGTCACTGCAATAGGAAGGAGGGTCAGTACTTCGTATTTATCTTGCTCTTAGAGCCACCAGAAAGCTCAAACCTAACGAAATTGTATTGCTGTATCCAATGAGAGTTCTGTAAAATGGGAAATAGCAATTGTAGTATATCCATATGACACGGTGTGACAGAATAGCCATTATCTGTGAAAATATAGCTCCATTTTTTTCTGAATAGAATACTTGAAACACACTACCTATGAAGATATATATCTGCCACAAACTAGTCACATTCTGCGTCTGCACGTACTCGTACAGTGACACGAGCGGAGGGGAGCGGGGAACACGGATCAATAGGGGTCAACTTCTCCAAGTATTTCCGTGCCCCACCCGTGCTGCAGCTGACTGCTTACTTACGTCCTGGTATTATCAAATTATATTCGCCGCAATACAAAGATACTGGACCTCATCATCCGCCATTTTAAACGAAAAAAAAAAAGTGAGCTCTACTACGCATTCCTCATCGATCGGTCGATATTCAATGGACCACTTATAAAACCCCAATGTTCATTGCCGTGTTTACAAAATCTTACGACCGAACAACATTCCTGGTCACCATACAAGTGGGGCACTGAATCAGAAATGTATATCCTTCGAGAAAGCGTATGTACCAGTTCTCACTGACTTCAATATACTGATGAAGCCGGATAGAAAGTTTAATGGAACGTACACTGAAGACTGTGAGAGCCGGGAAAGCGCAGTCGGTATAGCGACTGACTACGGGTTGGACGACCGAGGGGTCGGCGTTCGAGTCCCGATAGGATCAAGAGTTTTCTATTTTCCACGCCGTCAAGACCGGCTCTGGGGACCACAACATCCTTTCCAATTGGTACCGGGGGCTCTTTCCTCTGGGGTAAAGCGGCCGGGGCGTGAAGCTGACCACTCACCTCCATCTACTGCCGAGATAGCTATGGTGGAATTATACTGCCACTCCCCCATACGCCTTCATGGGGCAGTGCTCCAGAAGTTAAGCACAGAGACAACGCCTTTTACCCTCAAGACTGTACAGGTACAATTATATTTT